TTTATTTTTATAACTTTTACCACTTATAGGCGCATATGACATTCTTGCTTAAAATTTATCTTTGTAAATTCCATTCACTTTGGAACGCACCTTTGTATGGTCATTTGTGCAGACTGCAAGTGAATGCCCGCAGGATAACCAGATAATGAGACGCCACAGTCAGTCTGATTGTCATATTAATCTGCTTGTTTACCACATGCACATACATGCACGTTATCATTTGTAGTGAATATGCCGAGTGATATCCAAACGCAAATAAATGCATACATATGTATATACACCGACAGATACATAGGTATATGTATGCAATGAATGACAACAGCGAAGTGAGAAGGTGCTGATTCAAGTTCTCCGCTGCGCTTTTAGTTGGTAATCACAAGCTTTTGTTATGCAAATAAAGATTTCAAAATAAAGCGGAGCATGACAACAACAGCACTGTAATTATTATTGCAACAAAGAACGATAACAGACGGATATTTACGAATATGTACGAATGTATATGAAAGTAAGTAGTCACGAAACAGTAACGTGCCATTGTCACGGGTTGATGAGTATTAAATTCTACTTTTACACATGCATATGTATACACATGTATTTACATATATATACAAATGTATATAGTATTTATAAATGAAAATTTTCAAATATGAAAAAATACCGTAAAGTCCTTTCGCACAAAACAATCTAGCAGACCTTCCCAAACAGCAGTGCCCGCTGTGGATCTTCCCATGCACTTCTAATGTCAAAAACATATCTAAATAAACACATGTCAAGCACATGCAACATTTTTCTGCGCTTAGGTGAGCGCATGACATTTATGTAAACATCTGCGAATAGCTGGATTTCCCGACTGTGTTGAACTGCAGCAATTCGTTGTAGATTATTTTTGACTTGAGTTTAAAAATTTAGGTAGCAAAATAAGTGTATTTTTTTCACATCAAGTTTGACCCGGACTGACTTAAAAAAAACACAACTTAAGTATTCTAATACAAGCCTTTATTATCGGCTTCATAATAACCCAAAAACATTAACCGACTTTTTCCGGCGGATCTATAAGTTTTGCGGGGATCTTCTGCTATTTTTCTGATTCAAACACGACAACTTTCAAACACCATTTCTTTAGTTTTCGATACTTTGTTTTGATGAGGTCTTCAGCAACAATTTTTTGTGCACACCTTAAGGGGTTACATAGGTTTATGGATTTCGAAGAAATAAAATCAAATGTTTATTAACTTATTAAATTCTACAACATCTCTAGAATATGGTCCTAAAATTTCCAGTTGATCCCAGTAATAGTTTCGGAGATACAGATTTGAAAACTTGTGCACTCGGGGCTACCTAGGCTAAGTCTGCGGTCTTTAAACGCGTTTTTCTCGAAACTGTGTTTTAAATTAGTTTGCCAGATTTCCTGAGAACTACTCAACCGATCTTAATGAAATTTTACACAGGTCTTTGAAATACAATTTTTAAAAAGTTGAAAAATATTTGAAAAGAGAAAGGTCCCGAAAATTTCACTGAAATTTAAATTATTTTGTAAAAATGTTTGCCAAAAATCCAATTCTCAGTTTTTTCCTTCGTCCAAGTATTCGAGGAAACAGATGTAACCCCTGAAGTCTATGTAAGTTTTTGCACAAAAAATAAAAATTTATTTTGGAAATCCTCGATTGGGCATAAATCCAACTTAAATATTATAATTTTGTGATAAAGTAGATTCCCGAAAACACGTCTGCAATATTTTCATATATTACGTAGCAGTTGTTTCATAGGAAACAGAAAATTTCACGCAAACTCGTTGTTCCATATTTTTCCCAGTGTAAAAATCGACAGAAAAAGTTTTCGCATTGTAAACAAACACACACTAATTGACATATTGAGATCATAGTTTACACGTCAACATAAAAAAATTTTAAACAACCAAGAAAATATCAGTCTGGGTCAAATTTGTTCAGATGCTATTTAGAGTTTTTGGGGTATTTAGATCAAAACGTCACACGTCAACATAAAAAAAAAAGAATGCAACAACTTAAAAAATATTTTTTATTGATTTAGAATGCCATAAATGGACCAATCCGGGTCAATTTCGATCATATGTTATATAGTGTGTTCTCATTATCTCTAAATTTAAAACTTTTTCTAACCAAATATGCTCGTACCTTTATGAAGAAAAAATTCTAATGTGATTATGTATATTTCACACTTTGGCGTCGCCGCGAGTCTTACGCCAGTTGCGGTTAATAAAAAAAATTGGTTTTTCTAACCACAATTTGAAGTGTGGCGTGAGAGTTTTTTGTGCTCAAATAATACTGTTCTCAACACATATAATTTGAAATAGGTACAAACTTTCTTTCATAAATGAATATTGAAAAAATGAAAATAAATTTACTCGCATTTAGTGTGGCTAAATTTATAATTAGCAATTCTAAAAATGAATTTAGACTTTAAAAGCGTTTCAAATGCACTATTACATAAGTGCTTACACTATTACATATATTTCACATACATACATATGTATACAAACAAACATATTGCATTCTGTACACTTGCCGTCTCGCTGGTGTTCCTCTAAACAGAACTGTGAATATTAATTTTTCTCAATGTCAGGATTCTCGAAAGTCTCAGTTTCATGTATAACAAAGCTTTGTGCATTATAAGAAATATGCAAATAAACATAAGAGCTTATATATAAACTTTATATATGTGTGTATGTATATGCCTATAATCACATAGTTCCATTGCTTGTAATTTGCATTGTATTTCGCGACGTCAGCAAAAAAAAATCTGCCTTACGCCATCTTATTCGCACAAATTGCAATGTTTAGGAGAACACTAGCAGACTTTATATATTATATTATTAGAAGTCAGGCACAATGCACTTTGCCGGCTTTGCACATGTTCTAAGCGAGTGTATAGGAGAGCTGTGTACACATGGCAACCAGACTTGAATTGCCATGCAAGAATGGAACTGGAAGTAGTTTGATAATTAAATGGTTTGATTAAATTTTAACTAAGGTTGTGCCGTAGCAATAATACCCTTCACATGTTTATGGCGAAAAATAGCGATATTTTGATTTTGATCGCTCAGTTTGTATGCCAGCTATACGCGAAAGTGGTCCGATGTAAACGATTTCATCAGAGATTATGCCGTTACCTCGGATAATAATCCATGTCGAATTTCGAACATAGATCTTAAGAAATAAAAAAGTTTTCCATACAAGGACAAGATTTAAATTGGTCAGTTTGTATGGCAGCTATTTGCTATAGTGGTCCGATTTGAAAGATTTGTTGGTATTAATTATTTTGCCTTAGTATTGTAAAATATGCCGTATTTTCTCTTTATTTTGCTCCATGTTTGCGACGCTATAACTCACGAACGACTAAAAAGATACGACAATCAATCAAACACGTGTTAGTGCGTGAAATAAGATTTCCAAAAAGGTATAGTATGATCCGATGCGACGAATAAAACTAGAACTAGAAAATACCACAAGACTTTTTTGACAAATTAATATTAAATAGGGCTCCGATATCTTCGGTTACGACAAATTAGTAGCTTATTGGAGAGAAATGGTTAAGTGCTAAATTTTAGATCGGTATTTCGAACGCTGAAGCACCAGTTTGAATATATACAGACGTACGCACAGACGAATCGACATGGCCAAATCGACTCAGCTCGCCACACTTCATTTCACACTTTTTTTTTTACTTTTATTAAAATTAGAACCCAACACTAAAGTTGTGATAAATACTTATGTATGTAAAATACTGCTATTTTTTTGCACCCAACTGTACAAGCAAACACATAACTTGTAACTTAATTCCGCAGCGTATACTCGTACCAGAGAACGTATATTTATAGAGAAGGTTCACGATATCAAAAATTTAGGGATATTTCAATTTTGGGATATTTACTGTTTTGGATGAGTGCATTTCACCACAGAAAATTATTAGCGCATTTCACCACTTAACATCAGGGGCACGACAATAACAGAACTGAGTTGTTAGAGCCAATGGGAAAAAATATTTTAA